TGTGCTGAGCCTCCTGCAGGTGGAATCTCAGTGCAGCCATTTCATCGGTCTCACTATATGGACGTCTGCCATCATTTGGCATTAAGTGAGGATTAGGCTGTGGTTGAGATGGTCCATTATTGGTTCTAAAGTCAGGCTGATGATGCACAGGCCCTCGGTTCGGTAAAAACGGTGGCTTGTACCAATGCTGCCCAGGCCCATTATTGGGGTTAAAGTGGGGATTGGGCTGATGTGGCCCATGCCCTCGATTGGGTCCAGGGTTTCTGGCTCTGGGGTTTGGGTTTGCATTTCTTTGCTTTTTATTCTTATTTTCACCCTTTGGTTTGGCAGATGAAGTCACCTCATTTGGTGCCCGGTTTTTCCCTCTTTGCTTTGGGTTTGGCTGCTTCGCTTTTGTGTTAGGGCGAACAGCGGCCGATGAGGTTCCTTCCTGGGGATCAAGGTTTTGCTGCATACTCTGCATTCTTCTTGTCTTTGCTCTTACAATGTACAATGAAGATTTTTTTCTACTTGATCAGGGTTTGGACTTGTGTTCGTTGCATATACTGAACGTTTCAAATCGTTTTCCTAAAGGTTGGCTCGTGGTGTGTTCCTAAAGAGTCGCACAGTTCTGAGACATACTGAGAGCACGCTGTGGTCCTATTTAAGGACTTTTGAGATGATGTCACGTGCTCCTTTGGTCTGTTTCCTTTGATCTGATAGAGCAAATTGAGTGTGATGTCATCTGCTTAGAATGTAGAATGTGATCTAAAGGCCAAATCTACCCAAGATCTTTAGGAGAAAATTACACAAATAGCTTAGAAGCTTCAATAAATGTTTCTGCATCAACATGTTTTCCATATACATCTTCAAAAATATTTTCTATTCGCCTAAACAAATTTGAAAAGCGTCTTTGTCATATTAATTTCTGTCCTAATGGAAAAAGGAACGATTTTCAAAGCTTCAAGTTTAAAAGAAAATCATTTTATTTAACACTATCAAGTTGCAGATTTGCTATATTGTATAGTATTAAATTGCAAGTCTGAAATAGGTAAGTTTTAAGGGGCATTTACTCAGGACAAAATAAATTATTTGCTTTCTGTGTCAGACTTGCAAACTTATAAATACTGCAGGGATGCGTGCATGAGTTAATGCTGTAGAGGAGACAATAATCAGGCAACAAACTGCTGCCATAGCCGCTCCTTAAATATCTGGTCTTGATTAAGCTTAAAATATGAGTGCTGAAAACTCCTCTGATGCTATCCAGTGGTATGTTCAGTGCACTTCACTATTCCTGTTAATACAACATCTGAAAAGGAAAGAAGTAAAAAGTCATGCTGTCATAGTAAAAGAAGTCATTTTTAAACTCAGAAAAATCCGCATTTGAACCACATAACAAAAATATTTTAAAGATCTGGCCTCAGATTTATTATTTTAGTGTTTAGAAAGCCCTTCTACACATATCTGAGCAGCTTAGTAATTTTCTTTTTAGTTTCAGGAAAAAATGGTGCTCCCAACTAAGCACAGCGGGGTAAAATAAGCCGAATAACACGCTGTATTGTGGGCTGGTTACGCTGTCAACAGGTAAGCATTTTTCCAGTGATATGGGTGAAGAAAGAAACATATTTACAGTGGCTTGCAAAAGTATTCGGCCCCCTTGAACTTTTCCACATTTTGTCACATTACAGCCACAAACATGCATCATTTTTATTGGAGTTCCACGTGAAAGACCAACACAAAGTGATGTACACGTGAGAAGTGGAATTAAAATCATAAATGATTCCAAACATTTTTTACAAATAAATAACTGAAAAGTGGGGTGAGGATTCTCTTTGACATCCACAGATGCAACAGCTCATAACTAAATGGTGCAAACAGACGTGAATCCACATAAATATACTTTTCATATCTGAAAGTCCTGAAGAGAACAGTGTTATGTAAAAAAGTAGAAAATTAGCTTTTGGTTGAAAATTTCCTTTTTGTAACAATGCTCTGTGGCAATAAACCTTACACCACTGGAAAGCCTTTTTATTTCCATTGAAATTGTGGCACATTTGCAAGTCTTTTGCAGCACTTGTGCGATTGTTCCAACTCCTGGTAAACTGAAGACAGATTCAACCATCTGTGTGTTGAAAAATATTAATGAAATGCAGACAACTATTAGTCGTGCACTGCACAAAGTTGGCCTTTATGGAAGAGTGGTAAGAAGAAAGCCATTGTTAACAGAAAACCATAAGAAGTCCCGTTTGCAGTTTGCCACAAGCCATGTGGGGGA